CATTTCTCAGTGTAATAGATATTTACTCAAAACTTACAAAAAATCGTCTCAACATCAATGTTTATCGATTTATTATAAAAAAACAAAAGATCAATATAAAAGCATTTACTGACTTGGGGTTAGCATTTGTGCGTTGTTTCTAGAATTTGCTTGTAAAAGATTCTCCAGCTCTGTTAAGTTTCCAGAATTGCGATGATGTATCACTTTGGCCATTTGGGCGATTTCTCTGACGTCCGACGTTTCTTGGAATGCAGGGATCTACTCCTACATTCGTAGCAAGATCCACAGCTTTCTAGTTCAAAGAAACCCAATCAGCAGTTTCGCCCCTTTATTCTTTAAGATAATTCGAAAAGATCACAGCGTCACAATTATGTCTATATGTCTAAAGATATCTAGAGCGTTTATAAATATTGATCGTTCTGTTGAGGCTCAGTGCAAACTACCTAACCTGAAATAAAAGCATGTATAAAAGTAACGCTGTTACAAGGGTCATTATAAAATCAAACTTTAGCACGGATAGACTATATGCAGCTGCCGGCCTGTCGCCATTTGCACCCAATTCCTCCAGTGATGTTTCTACAGTTCTTAAACAAAATTGAATTTCTATCAAACATTTATATACATGTATATAAAATAATTAAATGCGTAAACTTTTCATCATTTAATTATGACACACATGTTTAATTTCAACAGATATGTGTTTGATGAAAGGCCATTGTCATTAAAGCATCTCGGCAAAGAATTCATAATTTATGTTTATATTGAATCTAACAAACACAGTGATACCTGTATAAGCAGAGCAGCGGCCCTAGCTGTCCAACGTGTCTCAGATAACGACTGAAGTTTATGTCGTTCTTCCATTTCTTCACGGCTGGTGGGGTCACATCCGAGAGTTTGTTGGAATTTAAGCAAACGTTTTGCGGGCATGTTAACCCATTACTTCATTAGCATTTTGTGAAAAATGGCTATTTTCATTGAAAAGTCTCCCGTTACAAGTTCAAATTGCAATAATAATATAAAAACTGCTTGAACACTAATCAAACTTGGCAGAAATGTTGACTGGACCATTGCTCTTGCAACAACATACTCAGGTTTAAATGTTCTGTTACCATGGCAACGAGGGTACATCTCAAAATTACCAAAAATCACTATTTTGCGTTGATTTTATCCATCAAAATTGATTTCAAAGTGCTGCAACTTTTTAATGGATTGAGATAGAGTCAAATGCTTTTCAGCGTTGGTAACACGTTTATCTTATGATAAATCTGGGATCATTTATAGCCTCTAACAAGTCCAAACTTTTCTTGGCATGAGGGGGACTCAGCCCCCTTCAAAACCCCAAACCGAAGGGGCACATTCCCTTCTGGCAACCACCTGAGGTATCTTTTGGTTGGGGGCCGCGCCGAAAAAGTAATCACTTTTTAAACAACAATTCTCAAACAAAAACAAGTGTTGGGGGCCTAATTAAGGCATTTTTTCACCATTTGAGACGACAAAAATGGGGGGGGGGGTAAAAAGGCGTCAAAAGGCGTCTTTATTGCGTAATGGGTTAAGAGTAAATGCTACTGTCTGCAACTTGGCCATCATATCTCTAACATACGTGCAGTTGGATGCGTGGACAATTGCTTAGTTAAAAAAACAATGGGCCTTGCAATGTGTATAAACTGCTTCAGGATATTTTTGGCGGATCCTGTCTTAGACACCGCTATATAACCCGGACATATTTGAGGCCCCGTCGTATCCCTGACACATTATATAGTCCATCTATACACCTGTAGGAATAAAGAAGTTATCATATCATTAAAATAATCTTAATTTTCATGATTAACCTTATCATCCTTATTTCAGTCTCGATAGTAAAGAACATCATCATAATCATCACCATCATCATCATTATTATTATTATTATTATAAATTATTTAGACATATGAGCATTTTGAAAGAGATTTGCCATAAACTGTTAAAAATGTTCTATTAATATCTTTGTTTTATATTGCATACAATAATATACTATAAAATGTACGTACAAAAGAGATTTGTTAAATTGAGTTGAGTGAAAGGATCCCCCCGCGAAAACAATATCTGCATTGCAAAGATGCCAAACTTTTATTAATTTGTATATCAAACTAGATGTGACAATAAAATATTCTAGTACATTTTTACATTTCAGTTTTATATTGTGTTAAAACATGGATCTCAGAAAACTATTTTAGAAACTATACTGTAGTAAATAAAGTTATAATGTTATTTATGCAATTTATTGTGTCAAATTTCTCAATCATTACCTAAACAGCTGAGGTTTTCAAGAAATGCGTTAGCCAATGCTTACCCTGTGGTACTCTTGAACTCGGAGAAACCAAGTAACTCTTTCCTAATCCCCCTGTACATCATTCCATGGTTGTGTCAAAAGAACGAGCTTCGAAGCTTTTTCCAGCAAAAGGATCAGGAAAGGGCGGCATAAAATCTTCATCTTTTAAAGGCATTTAAAAATCCCTGCCTTCAAAACTTGCAGGGCTAAACATTCATTCGGATTCCGAATAAAATCAACGATAAAAACCATCTTCAATAGAGTTGCTTCCCCCCGTGGACAAAGTAGAACTGCCGTGTACCGTTTTTAAATTTATCATTTTTTTAATTTGCCTTCAATGTATACGCTCTGGCGTATTGACATATCGGTAGGTACGCCCCTGTCAGCTGTAACCCAGAACAATACAGAAGCTTTGTTGATCCTAGAATGGACAGCCAAACCCGTAAGAGAGAGAAGAAATTTTATAGGGAGTATGAGATAGGGAGCTGTCATTGATAGTCACTGGTCAAGTATAAAGTCTAAAACTGTTAACAAAAAAAAATCCAATTTAACAAATTGGAAAACAGCTGCGTGATCTAAAATTTGCGGTTCATCCTCTTCTTTAGCATAAAATTAATGTTAAACCCATTTATAAGGTTTAATTGTTCTTCAGCTCAATTAATTACACAGAAAACTTTTCGCACGACGTTTATAAAATTATCCTGAAAAATATTCATACTCAAACATATGGTGCTTAGCAAAAGTTGATTTGTATATTATACGATATTTGTAAAGCACATCTCCAGAGATATCAGGCTTGCAGGCTTGGACGGTAGTTTGCACTTGACAGTACCGTTCATGAACAGGCTGAATCAAACCGACCCTGCAACATTTTCAATTTTGCCGCGTTAGGCTTTCTTTAGGGATTCTGTATTTATCTATTTTATATTACTTATCCCCAGTCGCAGAAGACTTTTCAAATAGTTTTTGAGTCAAAACTACGATTCTTAAATTTAGTAATTCATGATAGCGGTTGCCCTGTTTAAGACTTCCCTAGTAATAAAAATAATCCGTTCGTTAAAATCGTTAATATGGCTGCAAGTACTAGCGAATCTAATTAACTGATATACAACACTGTAATATGTTGCAATGGGTCCACTTTAATCTACATATTGATAAGTCATCTATCTTATCATATATATTTGTGTGAATAGTACTGTTATCGACTGTAATGATGTGGGAAAATGTCAAGAATTCGTTTTATTCATTTGAAGTTCTTTGGGATACACAGGTTTGATCAAAATAAGAATTATTTAAATTAGAGAACATCATCAAAGGTATCGGGAAGTGTCATATTCACTTTCTATACAGACTTTGTTTTTCACCAATATGTATTATTGATATAAAATAATCATCTCGCTCTTGTTACCTGTTTATTTTTACCTGCCGGATTTATTGCTAGAGGTTAAGTGTTGCTTGGGGTGTGGGGATGTGTTCTTTGCTGGCCTTTCTTTTTCTCCTTTCTCATTTTTTTGTAGTTTTAAACATTGTAAACAAAATATTGAGACAATTCATCCCATCCACAGATTGCGATTTAAACGTGTTCGACTTGTTTAAGACTTTCTGTCTTGACTTGAACAAATGATCCTTGTTTTTACTTTGTATATTTTTTCAAATTGGTATCATCATCAATCTACCTTATGGCAACAAATGATATCGGTACTCAAAAGTCTACAAAAGGAATACTTACTTTATCCGGACTAGGAATGACACGTGTGTTCTGTGATTTACTGTCCTTACCTTTGAATTTTGCTGATAACATCTTAAAAACATATCCAAAATCGTTTATAGAAAAATGACAAATTTTAACAAATCGCTTACGGGGAAAACAGAAAATCGAGGATCTTATTTCGCAAGTTCTTAGAAAGAACAGTCGAATCGAGACTTGGTTTGAGAAGAACTTTTGAAAATGCTGGATTATGGAATGTTCAAATTACGGAGTGTGCACTGTACATTAATTTTGACCTAGACTCACTAAAATATAGCGAACGGAATCCTTCAAAAAAGAAAAAAAAGAACAAAAAACCCCCAGCAAAACGGAACATGAAGTAGGACCTTGTTGTTGTTATTCCAAGCGATCTTTCGTTAAAAAAAACAGAAACACAATAGATCCGATTAATCCGATTAGAGAGAAGGGAAAAAAGGCTCCATTCCAACGCACCTTTGTCCAAAATTGAACAAGGGGACTAAAGCCAATCCATAAAACAACAAGGCTGGAAAAAGCCCCGCCGTTGAAATGGCACGGCGGACAAAAGCCCTCCCAAGAAAATGACAGGACGGACTAGCCATTAAAAATACAAATATCTGAACACCAAAATCCTTTCTTGTTATCCTAACTGCTAAAGGGAAGGGGAAAACGAGACGTTACAATAAGCTTTATTAAGAAATCTCAATCAAACTGCATAAGGTCTGCAATTCTTACCTTTTAAATGGTATATTATTGCTTCCCGAGGAAGGATTCTTACTTTTCCCTGATTTAAATTCACAAACCCTTAGGTATTTCGTGTGACAAAATATATTATATATTATATAATATAATGTGTTATCCATTTGCTAAAGACATCCGATATTCGAGTGGTCAAAATTTGAGTAGCAGTGCATGTATATGATTTACAATTTGCCATAATTTAAGAAATAAATAAAATTAACATACCTATTTGTAGTCCCATATTGATACAAGAATGTCTATGCGTTGAAAGATATTCACTTAGCTATTTTTTTAAAATAAATATATAAGGTATAGTAAACGTGTATTCTCTTTTATCTTTTGTGTAAACCAAAAAAGATATGAGAACAAGTTATCAGTAGCGTTTGTTTAATTTTGTCATATGATTTGTATACATGTATTTACCTTTGTCGTCATTTTTGATAATGTTTATGAAACGAAAAGCATTATTAGCTTGTAGCGGGCCTCTTAAGGTAAGTCGTTTTTTAATATTGTAACATTCGATTATATCATTGAAATTTACTAAAAAAGAAATACAAATTACCGATTATTGTCAAATTTAACTTTCCAATAAGTTAGATTTTGTTAACATTTAATGTCACAAATGAATGTTGTTTACATTAGAAGGGTGCTTTGCATCGTATCAAGAAATCTGCAAATAACTCCTAATTTTGAATTTGAACATAGCTATTTGTACATTTTGAATAGTGCTTAAGCTAGTACCAGGGGGGGGGGGCGTGCATGCAAAGTGTGCTTAAGCTATGACCAGGGGGCGTGCATACATTGTGTGCTTAAGCTAGTACCAGAGGGCGTGCATATATTGTGTGCTTAAGCTAGTACCAGGAGGGCGTGCATGCATTGTGTGCTTAAGCTAGTACCAGGGGGGGGCGTGCATGCAAAGTGTGCTTAAGCTAGTACCAGGGGGCGTGCATGCATTGTGTGCTTAAGCTAGTACCAGGGGGCGTGCATGCATTGTGTGCTTAAGCTAGTACTAGGGGGCGTGCATGCAAAGTGTGCTTAAGCTAATACCAGGGGGGGGGCGTGCATGCAAAGTGTGCTTAAGCTAATACCAGGGGGCGTGTATGCATTGTGTGCTTAATTTAGTACCAGGGGGGGCGTACATGCATTGTGTGCTTAAGCTGGTACCAGGGGCGTGCATGCATTGTGTGCTTAAGCTAGTTCCAGGGGGGCGTGCATGCATTGTGTGCTTAAACTAGTACCAGGGGGCGTGCATGCATTTACCACTATCGTCCAGGAAGAGGCTCATGTAAGGAAACCTTATATATTTTCAAAGTTTCCATTGTTTTGCTCTATATGTAAGAACGAAAATGTATCACTTATTGTTTCACACGTATAAAGTTTGTCGTATTCCTCACTCTACCACGGGGGTAAAAAATATAAAAAAATCATAGTATTTGAAATTCTTAATAAATCAAGTGAAGCACTTTTGTGCTCGATGAAAAGGCAAGAACATGCATATGTTTAAAAAAACAAATGCCACCCCCGGCTCATATTCTAATCAGTTAGGCTATTTCAAAAAATGCTCACCCATTCACTCAGTTATAAAGAGACAAAAATACCAAAAACATTGTAAATACAGTAATTAAACTTGGCAGAGTTACGATGTTTTTTTTTTTTGGTATATATAAAAATGAAAAGTTATTGGACCACCTTAGTTGTGTTCCTTATAAATATGAGACATTGGTAAAAGAGTACGAAGGTTGTATAAAAAGTGTAAATAATCTATTGATGCACAAGTGACGTTAACCTTGTGACTCCCAGCACCATCCTAGGCATGTTTCTCCAAATATGAAAAAGATCAGTCTATAAAGACAGGATGTATAAGCCAATGTGAAAATATCCCTTTTTGGCGCACTATTGTCATTGTTCTAGTGAACTCTAACTTAATCTAAAGGAAGAATATCATGCAAGATAACTTCCTACCAAATATGACCAAATATGATAAAGAATGCATGGGTAAAAGGGTAAAAATGAATATTAAGTACCGGCGACCTTGATCAAACTGACCACTAACTTAATCTAAATGATGCAAGTTTTATTTTAAAATATAAAACACATCAGTCAATAAATAAAGGCTATTAAAGCAAATGCGTAGAAGAATATAATTGACACCCTTAACCTTGACACGCTAACCTCTAACTCAATCGCTTTATTCGCTAAAGTGTCAAAATCTATTTTTAGCACTGATGCCGTGACCCAACTGACCCCTTATTCTATCCAAAATAAAAATGCAATGCAAGTTATCATCCTACTTAATTACAAAAAACATCACTTAAAAAATAATGGCTGTATAAGCAAAAATGTAGAAATCTAAAATTGGCACTATAAAGACCTTGATGTAACTGACCTCTTACTCTATCAAAAGAAAGAATAGCATCATACCAAATATGAAATACATCTGTCAATAAATAAAAGCTGCATGGATTTAAGTGTAAAACTATTTTTAAAACTGGTGACCTTTACCGACCGACCCCTTACTCTTTATAAAGAAAGTATATCATGCAAGTTATTTTCCAATAAAATATGGAATACATCTGTCAATAAATAAAGGCTGTATGGGCAGCGGTGTAAATATCTATTTTTAAAACTGGTGACCTTGCACAATTTCCACAAACTCAATCTAAAGGAAGAATACCATGGATGTTATTTTCCTTCTAGATGTGAAATACATCAATCAAAAGATAAAGGCCATAAAATGTATCCACCTACCAAATATGAAAGGTATCATTAAATAAATAAATTGATCAGGAGAAATGAATGATAAATCTATTTTGCCGCAATAATTTTATCACAGAAGGCCCTTTTTCAAATGATAAAAAAGGAAATAAGTGGTAAAACGGGTATCACAGTTATTGAACTTCGCAATATTATGTACTTTGTATTGATAAGTAAGTGTGGATATTTTGAAATATGGTAATTAAGATCAATAAGTAAAGGCGGCGTTCATTCAATGAACGCAACCGCCACACGACCCAGCACGGACAGGCCAATCACTAAAGTGATAAATATTTTGTAACTGATAAGGAATTCTAAGAAAACAAATAAATATTTAAATTAAAGGTGATTATTTGTAACTTATAAGGAATTCCAAAAAAGTAAACAGTATGAAATAACAAAGACATACATCTGAGAAATACAGAGGGGCGCCGCCTTACATCAAGCCTCGGTTTTAGAATGGCACGAAAGTGTCACGTTGAAGGTTCCATGATAACGGCCATATAAACACATCTGCGGATGTTTCAAAATTAAAAAATGTACCAGTTTATGTTTAATGTTGCACTCTGCTTAAACCGGTGATAGTGGATGTGGACGGTAGTTTGCTAATGACAGTACAGTCCATGAACAGATTCAATCAAACCGAGCCTACAACATTTTCAATTTTGCCATGTTGGGCTTTCTTTAGGGATTAATATTTTTTATGTTTTAGCCCCACCATGTTCCTATAAACCAGACAGTGTAAATAAAATGAATCATCGCCAAGTGAAATTCTAACACTTGTTATGATAACAAAAGTTTAAATAAGTTAAACACCAAAATGATCATGTAGAAACATATAAAAGTAAACCCATTGACCATAACAAAAGTACTCAATGTCCTTAAGGAAGGCAAGGTAACAAGAAAATCACCAACAACGGCCCGACGGAGTAAGGCAGAAGAAGAACATTAAGACAATTCAGTCCCTAAGGGCCTAAAGCACTGTCCATTAGAGAGTCTCTCACTTGGTCGGTCAGATGTAATCATAATGTCCAACTGTAAAAGGGTTGAACACTAAGCATGCAGTATGGCTGAATATAGTAGGGTCAAAACCTCTTTAAATACGACGTTTAATGATTTTAGAAAAAAACAACAACAAATTACCATGACCCAAACTCTTAAGAAGTTTGTAAATCACATCGCTATGAAAACCAGGCTGGCTAAAGACCTTGTTGCAGACGAATTTTAAATCATTATTGAACTTTGAAATTAAATCAAGATTACGACTTTAAAATTTTGTAAAATAAATCCGTTATTTCTTATTGCAGTAGCCCTGTTTTTAATGAAAATATTCCACTCGTTGAAATCCTTTACGTTGCTACAAGCTCTAGCGAATCAAAATAACTGAGAAACATAAACCCCAGAAGATGTCTCCATCTAACTGTTGATAATTGATGTGAAGCAGTTGGAATAGATAGAAATTAAGATATTTCCAACTTGCAAATTAAGGTTAACCATTATTCATTTTCTAATTACTGGAAGGGGCAATAATGGGTAAATATGGAAGCCATAAGTATGGTACTTACCCAGAACATGATTTGTAAGTGTGTTTATTATGAAAACATTAGTACAGGTAGAAATTTAGAAACATCAAACTTGCCATTCTAGAATAATATCGTACGGACAGACGGCCGACGGAGGGACACGCGGAGGGTTCAGTTTAATGAAATATGAACAATAAGATCAACAATGAAGGGATGCATATCACAGACTAGACGTAGAAAGACAAATGTAACAGACAACATAGAATCAGATCAAATAAAAGACATTTAAAACAACACCCACATGCAAACATAAGAAAATAATGTCACGTGAGACATTTATCATAAATGTAGCGTATTAAATACCTAAACAAATTGTTTGGTCGTAAAAAGACATTAAAGCTTGATTCAATGCACAATTGCTTTCGTACAAAAACAACGTTTTCATGCATTTTTACAAACTTTGATTTCTCAAAAAGGACAAAACCATATGTTCGTTATTTTCACATTGGTGTCCGTTTGTGCCTGAAATAATTGACAAAGGAGCACAGGGCGTCTCTCTTCAGAGGGTACATGTTAACTTTCTAACTAACCAAAAGAATCTCAGGTCCCATCCGTACACTATTTTAGACAGAACCGGCACATTTTTATACCACTAACGTCGCGTAACCTACCTCGATAGCTTCTTCACGTGAAAAGTCCAGATAATTATATTCCCCGAAATAACCTCCAGAATACATATCCTCTTTAAAAATATCAAATAGCCAAAGGATATATCTAAAACATAATCGATAATCATTGCAACCATTATTTGGATACTTAAAGCACGCTGGAATCTTATATATTCTGAATTTATTAAACATGCTTGTGTAAGTAAGATGAAACGCAAAATTTAGGGCGAACGCAACATGTTCCAAACATGATGACGTAATTACTGTAAATTTTGTTGATTATTTTTGTTGAAGATGTTGATGGTCATTTCGTAGTACCGCATTTTTACATGGCTCAAAATTGCGCATGTTACCAACACATAAATTTCAGCAGCATGTAATTGTCAAATTTTGTAAGGGACACACATTTTTACCGGTAGAAAGACTAAAACGAGTGTAAAATATCCAGCAATATTAACAAATTGTTGAAATGGCACAAACAATTTAGGGATGGCTTCAGTTCGGTGTTTGAGGACAAAAATTTACGTCAGCCACGATTGCAAGTCAATTTTGGAAATGCCTTGCTATTTTTATGATTCCTACACAGGGGGTGTTTACTTATAGACAAGTTAAATATAGGTACATATCCATAAAATATGTGCATTCACAGTTGGTGATTTTATGAAAATATTCTATTCCATGTTTAAGTTATAAAGCAATTTCAGGAATTCATGAATATCCCTTGTATAAAACAGGAATAATATATGATAAATAATAAATATGATTCAAATTTTATTTACAGCATGGCATTTCCTTCGGTATGTTGTTTTTTATTTTATCTATTTTTTAAATTTTTTATACAGAATAAGTTTTCATACTTAAAATGATAAGCTATAATTTTTCAGAAATTAAACAACTGAGGACTCTCTTTTTTAATTCTATGTTGCCCTTCCTTTTGTAAATCTACAAAATATACTCCTACAGAACGGGATGAAAGTACAGTGTATGTTTTCTAAAACGAAAGTTGGTATTCGAATCAGTAATGGTCAGCCAGTTTTTTTTTATTAAATATATAGCTGCTTAAAACTTACTTTGTGACAAGAAAAGCGGTTAATTTAATTGGTGAATACAGGCGGTCGGTAGAACTGCCGGACAGTCGAGCGAAAAAACTTTCCTCTGTGAGAATTTCCTATATTTATCACACACTATACATAGTTATTTTTACCCGTTCTCTTTTGAATTTCTTTTGGGTTTTGTGATTTATATTTTTTCGGACAAGGGATGCTTTAGATTCTTTTTCATATGAAATATAAAGGTAATATTAGTATATATATCATTCTTAATCGAGTGATCCTGAATAAATTTTCACAGATCTATTAACACTAACTTGCCACGTTCATATCATTGCTGTTTCTAAATGCAATAAAATCAATTATGTCCCTTTGATAAACATGCTTCATAATGATATGTAGAATTGTGTTTTTATCACACACGCACGCACATATACAAGCACGCACGCATGCATAAAAGTCTTTTAAGTTCCTAGTTTACCGTGATATGTTTATTTATATATTGTTCGTTAGTATTGCTCAACCTTTCAAAATTTGTGAAGTACAATATTTTACAACTCGAAGTATAGTAGAACAGTTTAAGTTAAACAATTTTATTATTCAGGGTGAATATACACGATACTAGACTATTAACAATTTATCAGCAACATTCAAAAGAGAACGGGTAATATTGTAAAAACTGGGACTACATCGATCAATAAATAACGACAGATATTTGCTAGCAAAAGTGTGTTTTTAATAAAGTGCATCATACTAGTGCAAAAAAGTTTCCTCTGTGAGAATTTTCTATATTTATCAAACGCTTTGGAGCAAAACTTTAAGTACTAATAAATAGATTAAATGATTTTAACAAGTTAGATGTGAATAATTTTGAACCATCTCTATATTGATCTATAGGAACACCCCCCCCCCAAAAAAAAAGTTCTGAAGAACAAATCGTTTCTCTTATCATCGCTTGGTTGTTGATGTCGTCGTCATCATAGTGAAAAAGTTCAAATACAGCCCACACTTAGACATGTTAAAAGTATAGGCTAAGAAGAAATAAAAGATATCTTTATAAGTCCGACATGAAGCAGATGGAAGGCAAGGAGAATTATTTTGAAAGATATTTGTTGTCGAGATACACCTCTATTTTCCAAGATAACTTTTTGAATAAAATTATTTTATACGATATAAATGTTATGAACACGGCACTGAATACTTCATCACCATGACAGGATGTTAATTATAAGACAATAGGTAATATTATTTCGACATCCGGCATTTATTGCAAAAATGCACATTAACCTCGCCAAAATATAAATTCGGCAACACGTGTTAAGCTTCACCTTAGGTGCTCATAAATGTATCAATTAAGGCACAACGGACGTGCACCAGAGTAGAACCATCAGCCATAAGTACATGTAAGTTTACTTAATAGCTTCCTGACATGAAATAATCAAAAGTTTCTCGCGGGATTTGAATCCACGGTGAGGTGGCACATGATGATGAAGTCAGCGACTTTAATAGTTCGACTATAGGTGACGTCTCTCTTAGCCTTATTTTCTTATACATGTAGTTAATGTATGAATCTCCTATAATATCTATCAATCATTCTCTCTTAGCAAACTTTGTAAACATGTTTACGAGCTATTTATAATTACAACTTATGTATCAAATTATAATAAAGTATAAGCAAAATTATTTTGTTTCAGGGTATTTTTTATGTCTTCAGAAATTCCTTTAAAATCCACATATGTAAAAGTTATGTATATATTGTCAGGAAGGTTAACATGTTTTGAAATGGAAGTTATCAGAATTGATATCGTATCAGTTTGAAATTGTTAAAAATCTAGTTAACAACATCTTGCCAATAATTTTGATGTTTGGGCAAAAGTTAACAAGAAGATCTATAAAGAGAGAGAGAGAGAGAGAGAGAGAGAGAGAGAGAGAGAGAGAGAGAGAGAGAGAGAGAGAGAGAGAGAGAGAGAGAGAGAGAGAGTATTCTTCTTTTCGGGACACTCGTGCCTGAATAAGCCAAACAGCAGACCTGCTTTAACTTCGTTATACATTATGACAATATAGACATTATTTTCGAAATTTTCCAAAATTATCTTACAAAACACCGATAATTTATAAAGAGTTATACAATATATTTTTTTCTGATCATTAAAAATATCGATATAAAAGCAAGGAAGAAATGAATTTTTCTACTGAAACACATACGTTTTTCCAAAGTAAATTCAGGTTTTAATTGACTTACAATGATATAATGCAGAAAGACTTTGTCTTTGATTAATTTCTCATATAACATTCTTCAGTTACTGAGAGACCAATTACTTTAATCTGCTATACAGTGTACCTGTAAAATGCGAAAAACGCCACAAGTCTTGTTTTTTATACAAATTGGCATTAAGAAAGCAATAATGTTGTTCAGAATACGACCTCAAAGTTTTGAAATCAAAGTTTGACATTGACCGTTTTGCTTTAGTTATAGATTGTAAGTGTGACGACTCCAAAGAGCCACTTCAAGAATTTCATGAAGCTGCAGTTTTAACTAAATTAAAGTTTTCTTTAGCGTTTCCAAATCTCTATCAATAATTTTGAAATAAAGAGCGTACTTTTATTATCTATCTTCAGTTTAAAAATGAAAATGTCGATTGTCGTGAAGGAAAAGTGTTTCGACCTAATTCATTGTTGAGACTGTCCGATTTTTATAGCGTTAAAACAAAATCTTTACTATACTTTACTATTGATATTGACTTTCGATTAAAATTATATTTTAAAATGTTTAAGGAAACATTTTATAATCATGGTCATAGTTTTAGACATAGTCAACGGTAAAATGATGACTATAAAGTGACATTGACTAAAGTTAAGGAAAAATGAACAAAAAATTTATATTTTCAGATGCTAGTACATGTATATGTACATGAGAATCAAAACGACAACGACGAAAAAATAAAGTTTTATCAAAGGAAACTAACAGAATTGGTGACGAATCATAATTTTACGAGATATGATTGTTGTGTTGAAAATCAAAGGCAAATACCGATGGTTGTTATCATAGAGGAAGATAAATCTGATCTTCAGCAATGTCTTAAACGTATTGACGAAGAATTGATTGGTAATAAAAAGTGTTTGACAAAAAGTACTACACTTTTCTGAATCTCTGAATAAAGTTTAAGAATATGTTTGTTCTTATAAGTTGTTTTAGTTGGCATGTTTGTTTTCTGTCTCTTAACCGTCTTTGTAAAATGTTTGCTTTCTTGGTTAATCCGTTATCTTGCAGCTGTTAATAGATTTTTATAGATATATTATTACAAGATATATAAATTCACGTCGTATTATTAAATTACTTTTTCTTATTTACGTTGATATTAAATGAAAACCTATGGACTTTTATAGAGAAAGAGTATGTTGGAAGAGTCATTGCAGTTGTGGTTCATACAGATAACGCTTCTACTTTGGAGCTCCATATTGAGGATTACAACCTTACTTTGGTTGAAGATTATGTAACAATACATTTTGAAGACAAACCATGTAAATGGCCACTGACACTTAAATATAGGCAGGCTGTCAATAAAATTCGGTATGCATTTTGAATTTCACAGCATCATTTAATTTCTTTGAATGACTTTCTGAACCAAGACAACATTTTCTTCGTTTAAATATATGTTTGAACATTAGACAAAGTATTTGATGCCTTTAAGCATGGTGAATTGAGGGGGGCAATAAAATTATAGTTTTTGCTTTTAATTTGCCTGACATTGTTCATTTTGTAAAGATCAAATCCAAACAAAAATATGTAAGAATATGAAAGCATACTTTCACGATAAATTGACTTCTAGTTCATGATTAAATTGGAGAATATAGGCTTTCTAAACGTGTATTGATAACCTCTACTCGTGAAGTTAGCAAATGTCTAAATGTGTTGGCCTAGTACAGCTTTACAGTATACCGCTCAAGCCGGTACTAGTTGACGAGAGGAATGTTCCTTATTTCATTTTTCTCTTATTTACAGACCCAATTAAACCGAATCTGCAATTTCATGTTATTTTGTTGTGTGAAAATACTTTCGAGAGATCACATTTTGTCCAGATTTGTTTAAACTTGGTGTACACTTTATCGTATTCATAATTGGTTTTCGTTTTATTTACGAGAATGAATGACAGCTTGTTTAGTATATGAGTGTTTCTATCATGAATTACTTTTAAAATGGTGCGAAAAACAAATACACTCTATTTATCATGCATGTTAGCATGGTGTATATAAAGGTATAAAGATAACAGTTTTCCTTGATTTTACATTTTTATATAAACAAAGTTAAATGATATGCAAAACAAAAAAATAGGCTGAACTAATTTTTAACGATGCAGACCTTTTGTTGGTTAATTATTGACTTTCATATTTCGATTTAATTTGATCTCACTGTTGATTATGTAACACTGGTTAATGTTTAAAAGGGAGTTTGTGCATTTCATAATTTTCCTATTTGAGAGAAATTGGCGTTTGCAAAAGAAAAAGGGTACAATAATTTTGGAAAACATTTCGTTTGTAAATATATAGTGATACTGTTTGTTAACATTTTGTAGACCAATGCAAACCTTTTTCATCAGAAGAAAGTTCGCATTGTATTTTCTTCCTGTGTATACTAAGTTAGCATAATTCTTTCCTAATATGTTTAATAAGACCCTTATGCAAACAATCGATCTATAACTGATACTGGTGCCATGCCCCCAAGCCTTACTTGCGAAGAATAGTGTGTACTGGTATATATAATCCGAATTGTAATTGTTATTTTAAACGCATACCGATAGATAACTGACACAATTTGGGGAAAATAATGACCTTATATTTAAATCAAACTCTGTTATCACTGAGAGTTATATTAGGGAAAGAAAGATGCGAAAGATTTTACTTTGATTAAATAAAATTATGCACCAATTATCGTCGTTTATATCCCATGATGCAGAATTGTTTAAATAAAGCAGGACTGTGCAGAAAGTCAGACAAAATTGCGGAAATTGCATGATATCCCATGATAAGCTAAATAGTGCGGCAATTTTGTCAGGTATACGGAAAATCAAAGAATTAAGAGTTTACATGTACTTTATTGTACTCAACTGTATCATTGATTCACAAAATTGTAAACGTTTCCTACTCAGTATTGATATTCCAACGCTTAAAATTAGAAACCGCATTGCTTTCAAAATTATGAAAGCAGGTACATGATTGGCTGTTTAAAGGGTCAAGAGAAAGTGACCTCTTATACGTGCCTTTCAGACCCTAATGCGTACAGTTAATAAGGAGCTGATTTTTATGAGATTGAGGAAATGACTTCATGACCGCGTAACAGGTCGGCAAATTTTTACCACCCTGTTAATGTTCTATCGTTCTCTATACAAAAGAAAATATTTTGAAGCTGCATGCCTCCAGATGAGTCAAAATATTTTTAAAAATCAGACCTGAGAAAAATATACTGAAAATTTAAAAAAAGTAAAATGATGCAATATAGAAATAATAATTTTCATTTTATGTGCCATTATTGATCGTTTTTTTCAGTAATTTGTTAAACATATTTCTATAGCGTTACTCACACAGTAAAGGTTATTTTTGCATGTTTTGACATGTCTTTGTTGTAAGTGCAATTAGTATTGTGTAAATTATTTTCTTTGTTCACCACACAATATATTACTTTTTAATTTATTTTCAAACTTTTCATGAACATCTGCAGGAATCTAGAGGCGTACTCCTTTAAGTTGGGAAATTCGTGCAAATATACGATATCCTTATAGTATCAAATAAACTAGAATTTTAACATAATTGTAAATTTGTTACAATGCGTTTTAAGGCAATATAACGCAAACTAATGGGCGTAATAACGCGGCAAAAAAGGCGTATTAACGCGAATAAAGTCTTAAAAACGAAAAAAAAAACCTAATTACACAAAACAAAAAGGCACGGTCACGCGAATTAATCCTCGATTACGCTAATAAAAGCGTTGTTACGCGAATAAAGGGCATAATGAATGGGACGAAAGACGTCATTACACGAAGAAAAACAAAAATAATGATAAAGTAATGCGGATACAGACGATATAACGCGAAATAATGTGTGCGTAATATGTTCACGCCGATTGAAAGATTGGATCATCTTTTTGTTTAATTTAGAAGTCTCGGATGAATTATTTATTTGAGTGTTTTTTCTTTTCTTTATTTTTTGGATTGCATACATTTCTATTTATCATTTTATGTATTTGCCGTTTATTTCGATAAAATTAGCCCAGTAATTCGATCGTAACATTTTTGTTTCATGAACAAGATGTGTGTATCATGTCTGTGTTTCAAAGACGGGCCTTTACTTTACTCCAATATTTTTCCGGATGTCCCAGCTTTACTAACTATAAGTCGAGCTCAAGTTTCATGCTTTGCACGATCTGTTTCAGCGCTTTGTATTTTGATGTATATTGACCGAATTCTAGTGCATTTGACGTTCTATATGCCATTATAATTATAACAGACGAATTATACTGGCAATAGAAGTACAGCTGGTACAAGATAAAATCATTTTTCTTGTAATACTATTTCGTATTTTAGTGATTTTGCGTAAAGTAAATTTCTTTTAGATTTTGATAAGTATACAATTTTTGAGATTTATGTTTTGTATTTGGGCAGTTATTTATTTTTTACATTTTTTTTATTCATTTTTGTAGATTCATCTTAAAAGCTCTTTCTATTCTAGTGTCTCGTAAGTGCAGATTGCAAATTTACACTGCGGCATGTTAATCGATGAAAGGAACATCATTAATACCATATTTACATAATATTAGTTTTAATTATACTGTATTTGTATGGAAGCAGACATGAACAGTATGTATATATACATGAATTCATAGTATATTTAATATGAGTCTCCCGAATTACTATAACTTTTTTGCAAAATGCTGCAGCATCGTGTATTAAATGCACTATTATACTTCATTTCATTTTTCATCATTTTTGTATTTTCTGACACAGTCACATAAAAATAAACTTAAACATGAAAATACATACAGATGTACTGTACAGTACGATTTAGATTGAAAAGATCAGAAAATACCTCAGAGCTTTCAGCCCTCTGATTTTAATATGTCAACGCAATGTTTATCTTATGTAGGATCTTAAGAAGCATGTTTTTAGGAAGACGTTTCTTTTTGGGAGGCTATGATGTGGCATATATTTGAAACTATTTACAGTGCAGCTTTATGCGGATGTGTTTGAATCTTTGTTTCACGAAATATACGGTGGATTGTTTATTCACGTTATTTTATTGGAGCTGACACGGGCCTTTGACACCTTTTATGTCAATGGCTAAAGGGCGACACATTCCCTTAGTCAACAATGTCAACGCTGTAGAAAGTGTAGCAACGATTTACAAGAACATTTTCAAGACACCCGCCATCGTGACTCATTTTGCAACAACAACCGCATTAGAGAAAACTCATAGGAGAAACCTTATTGTAAAAACCTCAAACGAGGACTCTCGTAGACACAGAGATACTTTGACATAAGTTTGTTTGTGAAGTGATTTGTTCTTGTATCATAATTCATTTGTAAATAATCATTTTTTGGAGATAAATTTGTAGACATTTTCTGTGGTAAGTTAATGGTATGTTTGAGATAACATTTATGATCCACTCTGTGTCACATCAAAGTCCATATTGTGACAATCGATCGCAATCATTCCATTGGCGCAGAAATTATAATAATTACAGACACTTTGATATTTTTCAATATAAGATAACTAACAGGTCTATTTTGCCGGGTGTAATGCAGTAACTCTAAATTCAAATGCATCATATCATTGATTTTACACATGTCACTTAAGTGAAAATTAATTTCTTATCTTATCTTTTAAGTGCGTCATATTTACAATTGATACCCATATGTCCTGTTTAATCACCTAATAACCAGATAGTGTCTTCTCAGTACGTGATAGTGTCTCCATATTAGGCTACAGATATAATGATCACATAATCACGAGATATAACTATGAAGGTGATAGGGTGAACAATTATTATGAGACATCTTCTTTGTCAGTAATGTAAGTAAATAAGGTAAAAAATTCTTAAATATGTGTGATAGTTACAAGTTAAACCTAATTTTGTGAAAGTATTTCCTAATTAGAGATAAAAATCAGACAGTGGCATTAAAATATATCCGTTAATAATTGAAAATAGAACGCACATATATCTGAAACAATTAATCCAATCAATATTGTGCTTCCTTTCTAAGGTTATCAGATGATTCTTTAGCATTTGTATGGTAGTTAATTGGGGTTATAAAGCCTTCCCCTTTCAGAATTATTTTTTATTTAGTTTCGCCCGTTATTTTCTTGTTACGGGCACACGCATTTATTAACTTTGGGACAATATGCCGCTTTTTATGGAATGGCACTAACGTGTCACATTGAAGGTTCCATGTTACCGCCATATGAATACATCTGCGGATGTTTCAAAATTCTAAATTTTACCAGTCCAGTTCATGTTAAATGTTGAATTCTGCTTAAGCCCGTGCTAGGGGGCGTGGACGGTAACTTGCACTTTCCAATACCGTCCATGAACAGACTCAATTAAACCGAGCCTGCAACATTTTCAATTTTGCCGTTTTAGGCTTTCTTTTTGGATTCTTATTTCACTCTATTTTATCGCCACATCAGCGTTGTTTGTGCCATGTGGAGGCTGTAAAAAGTCGTACCGTACATTTAATAAGGGATGTAATATTTCCGATCCTTAAAGATTGTTCAGCACGACATTATTTTTGTGCTTGTGACCTTCCTCTCAAAACCATGTAAACTGCAGTATTTGTCATTTGAAACATGTTTTAATATTTGGTATATGCTTTTAATTCAATGTCCTTCATTTTCCATAAAAAACCCATTTATTTTTAGTATAGGTATGCAAAATGCCGCTCATTTATCAGCACTTATGTTAATATGAACTCAATAACTCCAACATTTTTTCACCAATTTGTAAAAAATCTTGGTACCAAATGGTAGGAAATTGATTACTCTTAAAGGAAATAAAGCTGTCACTACAATCATATCATGTAATCTCGAAGTCACTGCAAGTGTAACTTGACAGAGACCTGACCGCTGGGTTTTTGTCAACATTACCCAATTAAACGGCAGGGTCGTGACTAATCAACGCTTTGGACACCTGCGGCACAAACCGCGAAAAACATTTTTTTTTATTCGATAAATGTCTACTTCCTTTTTTTGTTAAAATATAAATAATGATTCTCCTTGTTGACTGAATTATATCCATTATATATGTTTTATTATAGAATGGTTGACAGTACATAAACACATCTGTTCATATTTTGTGTGCATTATGTCTGCTTCTATACATAATACGGAATAGGGTAGATAAATAATAACTTGCACATGTTTCTGTTTTACAGAGATTTGACAAACAAGAAAACAGTAAGTTTACTTTCTAAATTCAATAATTTATTAATGTTGATATCTTATATTGTGTTATATAGTCACACCGAACTCCCAAACGTTTTGACATTGTATGTTATTTTGAGCATGTTTAAATATTTGATTCTTTCAAAATATGAAGACACACAAATAATCTTATATTTTCTCAAGACATATGTTCAAATGATTCACTTATTCGATTAAAGCCATGTTTAAAACAACAACAACAACAACAAAAAAGAAAACAACAGCATGGTCCTTTTACTATCGTTATCACGGAAATGGTAAGTCTTCGGATAATATGTTTTGTACGGAATTGAAGATAAAGATATTTGTATTTCACCTTAGACTTTTTACTCTGCAATTTCATACGCGAAAAACATCATACACTATTTTCGCTATTTATTTTTTTACAGGTCCTAGTTTATGATGCTGAAAGAGGAGAAACAACGAGTTGTTTTATCAATGACCTTCAAAAGCATCTTCCCAAATTTAAATTGAAAGACTTCCACAAAGCTAGTGACGCAGAAAAAACCTTTCTTAAAGTTATTGCAATTTTAAGGCACATTTCAATACGCGTTGAAGATGACTTTGGTCCATTATGGAATCAATTAGATAAAGGCGTGTACATTTCTTGAATATTATATTTAACAGTTTCTGTTTTTTATTGAACAGTACTGTATGTAATTTGTCAAGACGGCACAGATAATCTCATATTTTTTTGAAATATTCGCTTCAATACAACGTGGTTAGATTTTATGACCAATTGAGGATAATGTGTACTTTCATAACGACACTTACTTTTACAATATTTCATTCTGTTTGCAAGAAAATAATCAAAATAGGTTCAACACTCTCTCTCTGATATACTGTAAACACATAAAGAAGTAAGGTTCTATCTTAAAGGTGATGTAGAATTTCAACTTAAAAGTTTATGAGAATGTAATGAATTGTTTTTTTCACATACATCTATAGTGTCTAAAGGACACGCGTTAAGATAGTAGAGGAAATTTAAAGACAGTCAGTTTGATTCAAAAACGTTAACCCCGTCCATGTCATCTCAAATGCAATGATTGGATTTTTTTTAAATTTCCATCCTTATAATATTAAATCGTTTAGTTCGGTTTCAATAATTCACCGTGTTATGTTTCTTTAGTTTGATTTTAACCCCGAAAATATTTATATTAAATGGCGTGATTTAAATTTCTTTATAGACAAAATTAAAGACCTGAACAGAGTAACCGTCATATATTTTGTTGTGAACAAGCAAGAAACAGGCGTACATTATAGCTTTAAAGACCTACGTAAGTATAAAAGTTTGCGCACTAAAGATGTAGTAGTAATGGACTTCAACGGGAAAACCTTGAGAGAACAAATATGGACAATCGGGACTGTTCCGAAACAGATAAACGACAGTGCTCTACAACATCTTAATGAGAGAATAGAGTCGCATAAAATAAAACTGGGGGTAAGAATATTTAGCATACACATATTAAAAAATACTCGTATTCGTACATGCAAGTTTATATTAAAAATTTTAATATTACAGTAAATTAAATATTAATACTGGTCAGCTGCGTGCCAAATTGTCGTCTGATATATATCACATAAAAATTAGGCATGCTGCAGACCAGTTTTTACCGTTGCTTAAAATCTCTTTCATTTTAAATTTCATTTTAAAATCTTCAGGCAAGTGACTTTACTTTCTTTAGGAATGGTCTGTCAATGTCTTCTTTGATGACAGTTTGGTAGTTGTCCAACAACTAATAGGAGAGTTAAAAGAAAACATTTCAAGCTCGATTAATTTTCAAGAGCCACAGCCTGTTGAACAATTGGAAAATAAAACGTTAACACCGACCTTGGTTATTGCTACCGGAGATGTTAATGTCTGTCAGGAAAAACTTAAAGAAAAAGGTAACTTTTAAATATAAACTTAATCTTTATTTGATCTGCAACAAAATATCATATAATTTTTATTTCGAATTTCCTTACGAGAAAGATTTAAAGGGTTTGTTGTCAAAGGCTCGTCATGTTAATAGCAATGGGGATCCCCTGTCATTTTATATATATTGATGCGTGTGTGATGCGTGGATTTTAAAAAAAAAGACTTGATAAGGCAATATGCCATGCATAAATCATATGTCACGACCGAAACCCCTAGCCTCAAGGTCAATGTGACACTTAGGAATAAGCAATAAAAGCAATGTAAGCACTTTGAAAGCACTTTGAAAATGTTGATAGGGGGTATATCATGCTATAACCCAAGAATCCTCACTCTATGGTCAAAGTAACAATAGGGCCATTGTTTAAATTTAGAAAACCTTGCCCGGGTAATAATTATGTCATGCATTGAGAATATCGATTAAATTTTAAGTAAATGTAAAGCATTATGAGATTGTGTATTTTGTGCAAGACCTAGACCCTTGCTAAAAAATCGATGTCAAATTAGAAGTTCATGCATTAAGGCATTTGAAAGACAAACGAGTTTATGTTATTTAAGCAGTTGTGATAATAACTGCTTTATTTTGACAATAATAATGATTTTTTAAGTGATAAGCCTTGTCCCAAGTTTTATACTATATTTAAGCCTTAACTGTTACTCTTACATTAAGGCCTTGTTGATATCAAAGACGAATTTTATCTATAGTCATATGTCAACTAAGTTTTAAAGATATTTCTTGAAAATAAAGTTATGAAATACTAACTATGCTCTCCTATCTTTACATCGTTATGCATATAATTCTTTGTCCGAACATTTATAGTTTAGGTGCTTTTCAGACATATTTCTTAGCTTGAACAAAATTAATGAATTATGCAATTTTATAAAATTCTATTATGAGTTGTAACGAAGGTAAATGTAAAAATAATAATGCATTTTATCTTATAGACTGTAAGACAGTTATACTTTTGAACATAATTGAACAAGAAGCTATGGTATCTGCTAAGAATGACGATCAAGCATTGAACATTTGGAGGGTAATGCATCAGCATGGAAACTTTTATTTTAAAATTGATTTCAAGAAAAAGTTTGAAAGCTTTGTACGCATAAACACCAGTTTCAGTTAAAAGGTTTCACCCGTTTAAAGAGAAATGTTTTGTCTTTAATATCTATCAAATATAACGATAATAGATTATTGCAATCAAAATAGGAAGCAAACATCGCTGCAATGTTTCCCCGTTAGTTATAACTGTATTGTTTGCAACTTTATATCATGGATGTAACTTGAAAATTGATTTTTTACAAAAGGCATAGTTTTCGATACTGTATCAGATCGTTTTTGTGTATATTCACGGGCTTATTTGATATAATCACATTTGGTTTTGTGTGAAATTCAGAAGTACTAGAAAATATTTCCTACTTGGCAAGAAATGTTGACATTCAAATTGGTAATGATATTCATCTCCGATCCATTTTACTCATGAAATACAAAATCTAGAATTATATCTATTGCATAACAGGTTTTGTTTCAATCTTGTGATTTCTGTGTCTTAATTTTTGTCGCAAACTTAAATTTTGATGGCGTTTTCATTAGTATTTATCAAACTTGATTTCGCTTTTGAACATTTTATAAATTTGACATTTACTTGAATTGTTTAAAAATAAATACAGCTTTTACATAATAGTAGCTGAAAACCATGTGTGGTAAACAAAGCCTTGATAATATGTTGTGAAATATATTTTGATATGTTTCATCCATTCCAACGCGTAATGGCAGAGGATTTACTTGCTTTACAACGATTTTGCAAGAACTAGAACATATTCAATTGTACCATTTTTTCTACGATAAATTAGCATCTGCCAGTGAACATGCTGAAAATTGCAAGGCTTTATATTTCTCATCGATTTGTGTAAATTCATTGATTCTTATTAGTCATTTTTAGGGATTCTTATTAATCATTTTAGGACTGTATTAGTATTTAAGTCATCTCATACTACAAATTGAAGAACAAAGTATATAGTTTTCATAATTTTATTTATCATATCACTTTATGTATAACCAAGAAAAAAAACTTTAAAACTTTGTAAAATGTAATTCCTTTTATTGTCACTGATTCTAAAATTGAATTCATTTTTCTTTAACAGTTTATTCTAGCACTTTTCGTTTCGTTCTCACTGTTCAACAATGTGCTACAGCATATATACCGTCTAATACAAAATTTTAAATCGGTTCAAAAATACATAAATGTTTGTATTGTTTAAAACTGATTTTGAGAAAATTCCCTGAGTTTTATTTATTATAGGCATTGGCAAAAGGAGGGTTTTGTTGTACGAAATATACTAATATAAAAATTTGCAATACATACAATTTACTTATTTTTTTTATAAATCATTTTAGTTTACTATTAATTGTCATTGATTATAACCTGATGACCTACTTTTGTAATTTGTGCAACACTGATAATGTCAAAAGTCTGTTTATTTTAGAATACGTGTCAATGTCTTACAAACGTTTGATATTTTCTGTAATAAACATATATTTTATAAGAAATGAACTGTTTGTTATGTTAAATTCAAAGTATTACAAGTAGAATACTTACTTTTGTCTTGATGATTTTGTGTGTATGCATGTGTGCCCGTGCTTACGCGTGTATGCGTATCGTGTGTTCAATTAATTCAGTTTACAATTTTAATATATATGGTTTTCTGTGTCAAGGAGCCGTAAATATATCATGCAAAAATTTCAATATATTTTTCATTTAGTATGATCTCGACTCATTTAGTTAAGGAGAACAATCGTACTGACATCGGCATCGCAATTTGGTTTAAATTTTGCATGTAAGTTGGTATCTCCAGCCATACTCAAGAGGATGGGTGGACACTATACACGTATTTTAAATAATTATGAAACGTAGCTATACAAGGCGCATAATACAGACATAAAAATGACATAAAAAATAAATAAACAAAACACCTTTTTTGAATTCTATATTTGAAAATTTTGCATCTTCAAATCAATCATCAAAACAACTGAATGTATATTCTTAAAACCTAAGATCATAACTGGAGGTCATTTCCGAATGTCTATAATGCTGACATAAGTTTTGGCATAATAATTGTTAGTTTAAAACTTAAAAGAAGCCATGTTTACAGTATTGACGGCAACGTCTATCCTCAAAACTACCTATGGTATTCACTTCAATACACGTGTTTTGAATCTAACCGGAACTTACAAGACTTAAAAATGTGTCGTGCTTTTTTGTAAGGAATTTAACTTCATCTTTGTTTATTCTTACTTTATCAAGGCTTTTGTTTTACGTTCAAATATTTTGTCACTTCTACAGGTCTTCCTTTGCTAGGTTTTACGTCATGACAAAACAGCATATATCCCTACAGGGTCTACATTCTATTAGTGAAGTGAACCGGTAATTCAGGCATATTTTGGGGGTCAACCAGTCTGTGTCTAGGAACAGTAAGTTTTATATACCAAAATGTTCACAAGGGTTCGAAGAATACGAAAAGGTATTACATTTTAAACCAAATGTCTGGATAATCAAGAAAACCAAGATTGCGTCCAAGTTGGCCGCCAAAATACCACAAAAAAAAACAACAAAAATTATCATTATTGACCATTTTTGTTCAAGAATTTATGAGTCTTTTTTGTCTTCACACATAAATAGGATAGAAAATACATGTTTACTGTAAATAAATTGGTTTTTGGTCATTTTTAAGGGAGAAATATAAGATATTTGAAAGAATATCGTGAAATGAATAAAAAAATGACCTTAAAAATTAAATTTAATATAATTTTTCATTTCCATGACAACACATTTCATTGCTTAATATCCATTTTTCCCTGTTTTTGTGCAAAAATACAACTTCAAAATTTATCATTTATGTCAATTTTGTTTATGGACACTTTTTCTTTGGTGTTATATGATTTTAAACGGATGGGGTATACTTAAATTCAGCTTATATTTACATCTCTAAAAATTGCGTCTATTTCTGATGATTAATTTTCCAATTTATTGTATTTGTCCTGTTGTTGACTTACATGTTTTCTCTGAAATATATAATAGAAGGGGCTTCCGTGACCGAGTGGTTAAGGTCGTTGACATCAAACCAATGCCCCTCATCGCTGTGGGTTCGAATCCAAACAGGGACTTTGGATTCTTTCATGTGAGGAAGCTATCCAGCTAGCTTACGTAACGTCGGTATTTCTATTAAGGTGATCGTTCGTGCCTGAAATAAAGTTATGCTGGAACGTTGCGATAAGACCTATACTGTGTCGATGTGACTGAAAACCCCATCAAGCAAACAAACATATAATAGAAAGTATGTTGATAGCAATTATTGAATTTTTGATCAGTTTTCATAATTGCCATGGTAACATTTTATAAAAAGATAAAATTTTATAGCAATATAAATCTTACGTTATAGGAAAAACACCTTAGAAGCATTAAAGGATTTTGTTTTTACAAAATATGAATGATTCATAATCACCACATTTTTCAAAGGACATTTTAATTGACCATATGTGTAATAATATAGGGTTAACGCACGTTTTTCCGTATTATAACGTCTGCAGAGTCCCGAGGTACGGTTGGTGCCCGAGCCCGGTAGGGCGAGGGCTCCAACAGTTCCGAGGGACTCTGCAGACTTTATAACACGAAATAAACGTGCGTTGACGCTATTATAGCATTAAAATTTTAAACAGATTCATGATGTATATTATATATAAAACACAAACATTAAATCCTTGTGCTTGAACGGTATTTATCCAACTCTACATGTTTTACGTGTGCGTTTTATTTTTTCCGGGGCCAACAACTTGAGAACCGAACGAAATTTCGAATTTTAATTGATTTAACAAAGTTTAACTTTGGAGAAATATTAACTTAAGAAAAACATAACATTACTCTACCAAAGACAAAACAGGCGCCTCAGAAATTCCTAGAATGGTTACAGATTGGCGGTTGGAAAAAGATCAGTGACATCAGATTCAATTTCAGAATCGGTTTTTTAAGCACGCAAGTTTAAAAAAAAATCAGGCATAAAACATTATTCTCTCAAAGAAACATAATGAACATTTATCAATATAATCGTCAATAAAACAACGTTTTCTTATATTCATTTTGTGCTTTCCATTTTTGTAAGTTAATCGGGGGATTAAAGGGAGACACAGGCAAAATTTTTATTCCTTATTTTTGAAGTTTTCATTCATTATTTTGTAAATGCCTTCAAAATAAATATATTAGACAGTCAAAGGAACGAAACTTTTCTCCATATAAGGAATAAAATGGTGGTTTCCTAACTTGACCCGCGTGGGTCAGGTTAGAGCGCTAGCATTTCACAATAGTTGTCAAAGTGAACTCTGGAAACGTTATTGAACATGTCAAATGAATGACTTAGGCTTGTTTCAATCATACAATATCCACAATATTTGTTATTGTAACTTCAAGGGTTTGTTCAAGTCACCTGACTTGTTTTAAAACTATTTGGTGATTCTATTGGCGTCTAAATTTGTTCAACATATATAGATATATGTACGCTTCAAACCCAAAATATTTAGAATTTAAACAGAAATACATGCTGTAACTTCAAGAAAAGTCATTTTAGCGTGATTTGAGAACTTAAGATCATTTTATTTTTTTGTCATTATTTTGCCTGAATATCCCTTTAAACTGAATGACAGATTCTATTTGTTTACATTGACAACTGTCCGTTTCTAAGAAAGGGCGACAACCAAGATAAGCGGCGAAGTCTATACGCCGTAATGCCGGCATAATTACTTGAATATGCGACTGAGGCCCTCGAATTAATAATTCCAATATAACAAGAGCGCATGACTCTGGCAAACAGGCCAAATCGTCATTTTTTGTTTGTTTTCTGGGCCCTGCATGTATTGCGCATAGGTAAAACCGGGCTATAACAAGAGCGCGTGACTATGTTAACGCATGGTTTTGGCCCCGTTATAACATGGGCAAAAGAGGGAAAAATAGCCGATTTAATGCTATAATAATTTAAGTGTCCTCTCTTTATGACACTTCGTGATTTGTAATACTGGGCCTAGATCTACTGAAGAAGACATTGGTTTGCTGTAAAGGTTACTTAATATAAATCCAAGTAGGTATTATTAATTATTACAATTTTTAATTTTTAGTTTATTTTTTATACATTTTTCATGATATTTTTTCACATATTTTATATTTCTCCGATAATAATGACCAAAAACTAATGTATTTACAGTAAACATGTATTTTCTACCATATTTAATTTTTATATGTGAAGACAAAAGTAGCTTATGTGTGTGATGCTGTGTGTGTGCGTGTGTGTGTGTGTGTGTGTGTGTGTGTGCGTGTGCGATCGTGTGTGTGTGTGTGTGTGTGTGTGCGTGCGTGTGTGTGTGTATAAGGTTTGGAGATCATTAGATCACGAAATTCATGATAAACCATAATCTGCATTAGCGTTCCATTTTATATTACAGTACATGTTAAACAGTTATGAGTATGAATAAAGTTGATATTAATTGACATCATTCTCATTTATCGTTTTCAAGTTCTGTTTGATTATTAACATAATTCAAGAGATTTGCTATTTTTATGCTGATTGAAATATAATTGTTAATAACAAATTGTCATGATACGATGTAAAAAACGTCAACATTATAAAAAGACTGCTCCACTCTCTTTAAGAAATGGCGTTACCGAGAACATTTGAACGATGTTTATAGGAATTGAAGTTAGACACGTGGAATATTGATTCATGGTAAACTTTAAAATTGAAGACAATAATGACAAAATGTTCAGTTATTTTACTACGTTTCACTGAACCTTTACACTCGGATGGATATATTCTCAATTTACACATGAAGAAAGAATACAAATATCATCATATAACCCAACTAATATTTTCCCCTCAAGTACATATTTTTCTTAACTTAACACTGCCTGCAGCAGCAATGGCTCCAAACAATATCATTATGATTGTTCTGAACGTCAAATGTGCCTTTAATTCTCGTCAAACTTGACATTTCTTAGGCTATTTTGGAAATTTCACGGATTGTCTTGAAAAAAAAATATTAATGGTATTTTCTTGTTTCCGGATTTTGGAAGTAAATTTGAATTGATTAACGAAAAAGTTACCTGAAAATCGTCCGGAATTCAGAATTTAAAGGTTCTGTAATTCAGAGGTTTAAATTATATAGAAAAAAGAAGGAGAAATCAAGGGACCACGAAAAATGTTCGGATTTCAGAAGTTCCGGAATTCGGAAGTTACACTGTATAATGAGGTAGAATAGACAACTCAATGCGGATTTCTGTGTCATAGGAGAAACGGTCCAAGCATAAGAATGTTCACAAGACCGTATGAATTTCTCCTGATATAGACTCACTTCAATGGAACATTATCAAAACACAGGAATACAAGATCTGGTTGTCTATAGATTCTGTAAGGCTTATTAAAGAT